CTGGCTATTTTATGGTTGCAGCCATCATTGTTGTTTGGTGGGCCCAGGCTGGATTTGAACTCGCCACCTTAGGTGTATGTGGCTGTCACCTTAGCCATCTGAGCCACAGGCGCCAAGCTCTGAGGGCAGTTTTTATTGAAACTTAAAAGATGTTAAGATGGGGCAGTGCCTGTGGCTCAAAGGAGTAGGGCACTGGCCCCATATACCAGAGGTGGTGGGTTCAAACCTGGCCCCAGCCAAAAAAACCAAAAAGCAACATTAAAAAAAAAAAAAAGATGTTAAGATGGCTACTCCCACAAGCTCTCTCTCTCTCTTTTTTTTTTGAGACAGAGTCTCACTTTGTCCCCCTGGCAGAGTGCTGTGGCATCATAGCTCACAGCAACCTCAGACTCTTTGGCTCAAGCAATTCTCTTGCCTCAGCCTCCTGAGTAGCTGGGACCACAGGTGCCCACCACAACACTTGTCTATTTTTTAGAGACAGGGTCTTGCTCTAGCTCAAGCTGCTCTCAAACTCGTGAGTTTAGGCAATCTGCCTGCCTCGGCCTACCAGAGTGCTGGGATTACAGGTGTGAGCCACTACACCCAGCTAGCTTAAAAGTTTATCCTTAATAAAATGCACAGATCTTAGGTGTTCTGTTTTATGAATTTCAACAATAATATACACCTATGTAACAACCAACGCCCAAAGATACTGAACCATCACCCCAGAAAACTTCCTCATGCCCCTTCCCTGCAATTTCCTGAATTCTGTTATAATTGTCACTGTATAGTTTTGTTCGCTCTGGTATTTCACACAAGTGGAATCCTACACAATGTACTCTATTGTGTTTGTATTCCTTAGCTTAGCCATGTTTTCAAGATTCAGCTATATGTTATCAGTAGTCTGTTCCTTTTTATTGCTAGTATCCCATTGTATGAATATATCACAATTTATCCATGGGTATTTGAGCATTTCTAGTTTTAGTCTATTATGCACTTGATCTTAGTCAAAAGGCTCAGAAGTGATAGTTCTGGCCTATTATGAATAAGGCTGCTATAAACATTGTGCAGATCTTTTTTTTTTTTTTGAGACAGAGCCTCGAGCTGGGTAGGGTACCATGGAGTCACAGCTCACAGCAACCTCCAATTCCTGGGCTTAAGCAATTCTCTTCAGCCTCCCATGTAGCTGGGACTACAGGCACCCACCACAATGCCCAGCTACTTTTTGGTTGTAGTTGTCATTCTTGACAGGCTCAGGCAGTATTGGAACCCACCAGCTCTGGTGTATGTGGCTGGCGCCTTAGCTGCTTGAGCTACAGGCACCACCCATGTGCAGATCTTTTTATGAACATGTTTTCATTTCTTTTTTTACCTTTTTAAAAAATGGTAGCTAGTGGAAGGATATAACATTGATTTTCATTCATCCAATCATCTACCATTTATTGAATAGGGAATTGGTGGCCTAGTCCTGGGATTACAACAAAAATTGGACATAGTCCTTTCCTTGAGGGGCTTAAAAGTCCAATAAAACTCCATGAATCTGTTGCATTCCTAAGCCTTAGGGTGGAAAACCTTAAACGTCTGTCAGGCATTTTTAACTACTTTTGGCCAAGTAAATGAATTTTTATACGTAAGCAGAATGTCTAGATGTTTTTTTACTTTTCATTCATATGTTTATCCCTGTTTAATAAACACAACCAGAACATCTGCATTTGTCAGAGCACATACCTGTCCTCCTTCCTTAAAGACCTTCCTTACTTGATAATTCAGGCGTTCAGATTTTGGCAGATTCTCTATGCTTCATAAACCTTCCTCTCTACTGACAGGAGGTGAATGAAGGGTAGCTACCATTGCTCCCCAATCCCTGTCTTTTGATGAGGTTCAAGATACTTCATTCCTCAGTGCTGTTTAATCAGATATTTTTCTTTACTTGAGTTGTCTGCATTACAAATTAAACTTCTTAGGTCTTTGGTAGCTGGAAGCTTTGGTAACAAACCAGTTTGGTGGTATGGTCGAACTATGCATAGTGCGGATGACTGTAGATGGCATCTCAGAGAACCAGTCTATCACTGCTAACATTAGTATTTTGTATGGAGTTCCCTACTTAATACAATGTGGTCATTGGTTTGGTGTTGGGGCATCTTCATTCCTCAGAGGTTGACATTGTAGCCATTTAGGCACTGGGTTACACTGTCAGGAGATGGTTGGTTTGGTAGTTAGCCACTCAAGATCTTTTATTTATTTTTTTGAGACAGTATCTCTGTTGTTCCAGGCTAGAGTGCCATGATGTCTGCTTAGCTCATAGCAACCTCAACTCAGCCTCCTGAGCAGGTGGGACTACAGGTGTCTGCCACAATACTGGGCTAAATTTTTTATTTTTAGTAGAGACTGGGTCTTGCCCTTGTTCAGGCTGGTCTCAAACTCTTTGAGCCACTTTTTTTTTTTTTTACAGTTTTTGGCCGGGGCTGGTTTTGAAGCCGCCTCCTCCGGCATATGGATCCGGCACTCTACCCCTTTGAGCCACGAGGGCCGCCCCTCAAACTCTTGAGCTCAAGAGATTCTTCCACTAGGATTACAGGCCTGGTCAAAACATTTTAATAATCTGGCTGTTCTTCATGTTGGACTGACTCTCAGTGAGTGAAAACTATTTTTTTTAAGGAGACAGAGCAAGTCTCCAGGCTAGAGCACAGTAGCACAATCACAGCTCACGTAACCTCAAACTCTGGGCTCAAGAAATCCTATTTCAGCCTTCTAAGTAGCTGGAACTACAATGTGTACCACTATGCCTGGCTAATTTTTAAAAATATATATACTTTTTTTTTTTTTTTTTGTAGAGAGAGAGTCTCACTCAATCACCCTCGGTTGAATGTCGTGGCATTGCACAGCTCACAGCAACCTTCAACTCCTGGGCTTAGGCTATTCTCTTGCCTTAGCCTCCTGCGTAGCTGGGACTACAGGCGCCTGCCACAATGCCCAGCTATTTTTTTTGTTGCAGTTTGGCTGGGGCCAAGTTTGAACCCACCACCCTGGGTATATGGGGCCAGCGCCCTACCCACTGAGCCACATAGAGATCAGATCTCACTATGTTGCCCAGGCTGGTCTTGAACTCCTGGTCTCAAGTGATCTTCCCACCTCAGCCTCCCAAAGTGGCTTACATGTGTGAGCCACCAAAATGTGCTTTGAAACCTTCTACCTGGCAAAGATATGGTGGATCTGCTTACATCCATGAACCCCTTTTTCAACACCTTTCATCATCCAAAAACTTTGAGTCTTTATGCCAAGCACTGTATATACAGTATTAGATAACTAATGTGGAGTTCATGTGGGGTATGATAAACAATGAGATTAGAGAAGGTAAGCAGTGGGAAGATCATACTTTATCCTAAGGGCAATGGTTTTAATGGGGGGGGGGATGGCATAATCAGATTTGCATTTTGGAAAGAAAGATCAATATGGTTGCAGCATGGAGTACAGAGAGAAGAAGGAAGGACTGTAGTCAGGGAGACCACCGCTTCCTAACTTTAGTGAGTCAGGGTGAACTGAGTCTAAGTGAGACTGAACTCAGAGTCAGTCCAACCCAGAGAACAGCCAGATTATTAAAATGTTTTGAGAGTCTAGGTAGTCAGCAGTTCTAAACTGACATCAGTTTATCAACCAACGTAACCCAGTGGCTAAATGGCTATGGTGTCAATCTCTAAGGAATGAAGATGCCTCAACACTGATCAATGACCACAATGTACTGAAGCAGGGAACTCCATACAAAGTACTGATGTTAGAAGTCATCAGTAACTGATTTTTACAGTAACTGTGGAGAAAAGTGAGAAATAATGTGGTTTGAATTAGTAAAATGACTGTGGAGATGGAGAGGACATTGAAATGCCCAGGGGGACATCAAGTAGAAATACCTGTCTAAGAGGTCAGAGCTTCCCAACAGCTATGCTGCATATTGGTCTTCTCAATTCTCAGGACAGCACAAGCTCTCTGAGACAAGAGGGCAGTTTTGGTTATGCTGGATTGTGTTATCCAGCATAGAAATCACCAACATTTTCTATGTGTGCCATGACACAAAAAAGGTTGGGAAGCAGTGATACAGGCAGTTGGATATGTAATTCTGAGCTCAGCAGAGAAATCTGGACTATAGCTAAGAGATTATTAAGTCATCCAAACACTGGCGGTAAATGAAGCCATGGAGTAGAAGAGATCACTCAAGGAGAGAAGGGATGGAACAGAACTCTAGGAACACTAACATTAGAGAGGGTTCTCCAGAAGAGGAGAAAGATTTAAAAAAAAAAAAAAAAGACTAAATACTGTTGGCCCTGTGTATCGATGGGTTCTGCATCTTTGGATTCAACCAAGCATCAATTGGGGAAAAACAAACAAAACAAAAATAAGTAACTACAATAAAAATACAAAAATTTTAAAGTATAGGATTTGCAACTATTTATATAGGATTTGCACTGTATTGGGTGTTACAGGTAATCTAGAGATGATTTTTTTTTTTTTTTTTTTGAGACAGAGCCTCAAGCTGTCCCCCTGGGTAGAGTGCCGTGGCATTACAGCTCACAGCAACCTCCAACTCCTGGGGCTCAAGCGAGTCTCCTGCCTCCGCCTCCCAAGTAGCTGGGACCACAGGTGCCCGCCACAACACCCGGCTATTTTTTGGTTGCAGCCGTCATTGTTGTTTGGCGGGTCTGGGCTGGGGATTCGAACCTGCCACCTTAGGTATACATGGCTGGCGCCTTAGCCGGTTGAGCTATAGGCACCGAGCCAATCTAGAGATGATTTTAAGGGAAAACATGCACAGGTTATATGTAAGTACTACACTGTTTTAAACCAGGAGCTTCAGCATCCAAGGATTTTGGTATCCTCAGGGGTCCTGGAACTAATTCCTCATGAACACCAAGGGATGACTGTAGTTCCTGATGTTGCTGTGGTCAAGCTGGATCAGAACAATGACATCCCTGTTGACTTTAGTCACATGCCATTGGAGATTTAGACAAAACTTGATTTTGAAGGAATGAGAAGGATATATTTCCTGTACAAAGTAAGGAGTGGAGATAGGAAATATTTAAAACCTTTTTTTGTTTGTTTGTTTTTTTCAGTTTTTGGCCAGGGCTGGGTTTGAACCCACCACCTCTGGCATATGGGACCAGCACCCTACTCCTTTGAACCACAGGTGCCGCCCAATATTTAAAACTTTTTCAAGGGTATGACTCCTACACCCCTCTTGGGGGAAGTGCTGTCACTCTATAAAACAGAAACAAAAAAACCTCTTCCAAAATATTGGCTGTGCTGTGAGGGAAAAAAATAGGCAGATGGGTGGGACAGTGAGGGATGACAGTTATTTTAGAAAGACACTACTTAATTTACCTTAAAAATTATTCAGTTTTTTAAAGAGTAATATGTACATATGGTTAACAATCAAACGTGACAGAAGCAATTGTTTGCTGCATTTCCCACCCCCAGCAATGAGCCATTTTAAGCTTTTGACTGATTCTTCAATATAACCAGGAGCACCTTATACTACTCTTTGTTTTTTTGCTTTTAAATATTTTATTACCCTCTATGTGTATGTTCTTTCTAAAAGGTAAGGAAGTAGCATCTTACCATTTACACTGTTCTGTACCTTACTTCTTGAACTTAAAACATCTTGCAGACCTTTCCATAGTAAGACGTACCAAACTACCTTGATCTTTTTAATGTTTTTAAAGAGTATATCTTGTTTTTTTTGCAGTTTTGGGCCAGGGCTGGGTTTGAACCCACCACCTCCAGTATATAGGGATGGACCCTACTCCTTGAGCCACAGGCACTGCCCTAAAGAGTGTATCTTGCTGGCTCGGGGCCTGTGGCTCAAGTGGCTAAGGCACCAGCCACATACACCTGAGCTGGCGGGTTCAAATCCAGCCCTGGCCCGCCAAACAACAATGACAGCTGCAACCAAAAAATAGCCGGGGGGGTTGTGGCGTTTGCCTTTAGTCCCAGCTACTTAGGAGGCGGAGGCAGGACAATTGCTTGAGCCCAGGAGTTGGAGGTTGCCACAGCCCTCTACCCAGGG